TAAAAAATTGTGGTAAATTTTAATTATTAAAAATAAAATAATAAATAATTAAAATTTTATATAAATGTAGTATGTAAAACTTATGTGTAATTAAATTTCTTCTGATGCACATGTATATAAAATAAGGATATCTTAATACTTTAAATGTTAGAACTATTTGTAAAAGTGTACAATTACTTTTAATAAATTTTTTTTTTTGATTCATTAAGAATATTTATTTTAGTCTTTTTATTATTATTCTAACATTTTAATTGTCAAGATGTATTAATTTTCCTCAATCTCATATATATATATAAGTAGAAATTCATTTACACATAATTCTTATACATTATACTTATATAAAATCTCATATATTTATTTCTCTATCTTTAATTGTTAAGATTTATTCACTTTTTATTATATTTATTAAAGATAATAATTTTGTTTATCTAAAAGTTATAATAAATAATAACTATTTTTTTTGTTTGATCTTGATTGTATAATAGAAGCAGTTATCTCTCATCCCTTATTCCACTTCATCCGTATACTGTGCAACTCGAATACAAGATCTCTTACTTCTAACAGAAGGAGATGACCATTGAACTATTTAGGTCGTTAGCTAATAAATAATAACTATTAAAAATAAAAAGATAAATAATTAATATTTTATTTAAATATATTAATTGAAACTCGAATCTAAATAATTCCCTACCTTGAATATAAAACGTTTAGTACTGACTGTATCACATTTTTTAAAACATCATAAAGCCTTTAAAGATGAATTGGGCTTTGAAAAGGCCCATTTATCCTCTTTTACTGTTTTGGGGTAATTTATGGCCATATATAACACACTGCTGTGGCTGACTGACCAGTAACACCAAAACTCAACTTTAAATTAATTAAAATCATTTGAAAATTCAACTGGAAGCATAGGATTTCTTTAATTTCCTCATTTGACTACAGATGCAGTAGTTTATTAGTATGTCTCATAGGATTTCAGTTTCCTAGTTTTTGGTAGTAATTAACAGGTGGGATTACAAAATTATTGACAAGAGTTTTGAGGGATCAAGTGAACCAACGATTTTCAGTTCCAAGTAAGAATTTAGTACCCACATAAAGGAATAGAATTTGAAAGAGAACTGTATCAAACTAACATTTAATAGTTAAAGTTACGCAATCTAAATTACCCTATATTGTACAACACTTTTTTAAAATTTAAACATTTTTCAGGTTTTCTATATCTTGCTTGTAACTTGCAATGAGGATAGGCGCAGCTCTGACAACCCTGACCCAAGGGAAGAGTGGCTGGCCTTGCCATGGTGGGCGGACGTTGGTGGCAGCAGTTGCGGAGCCAGGAATTTTAATTAGGGAATGTCAGCTTTTCAAGTCTTAAAATAATACATTATAATTTTGAGAACTTACTTTTATATTAAAAATTAAAATAATATTTGATAAATCTTTATGTCACAAAATTTATTTATAATAAAGTTTACATTAAATGACTTAACTATTTCTTTTTAATATAAACCATAAAAGAGTTTGAAAAAAATTTACTTTTCATTTTACTGCGAAATCTCATTTTCACAATTTTCATAGGAGAAAATGCTCTTTCTGTTGTTGCTGTAGAAACTGGAAAAGTAAGCACCAAATTAATTAATTTTATGCAAAAAATGCTCTTTCTTGTTTTCACAATTGTACAAATTGCTATTGTTTTCACATTTTCCCCCTTTTTACAAGCTAAGTATACTTTATATTAGTTTATCTTCCTTTTATACTAATTTATCCTCCTATTGCTTTTCTTTATATGATTATATCCTAGGTTTTTCCTTTTATTTTGTTCATATATTTTTTTTCAATTTTTTTACTCTGATCCAATTTTATTCCATATAACTTCAATATAAGTTCAATATTATTATAATATTCAATTTTATTTGTAATCTCAACAACTCTAAACTCTAAAAGAAAATTATACAATTTTTTTATAATAAAAAACCGATAAGTTTTATTACTTAAATATTACTCCC